GAGGCGAGGACAGATTCAAGAGAAAGCATTCGATAAGATCAGAAAATGACAACATATAATCAAATACGAGTGAGAAGAAGGTTTGCAGGGAGTAAGTAGGCTTATTTGGAGTGGTGGTGGGTGAGTGAGGAAGGGAGCAGAGGGATAGCTTGAGAGGGAGAGGCGAAATATCCAGATTTTACGAGGTTCATCCTAATTCCTGAAAAGAGGACTCGCGAGGACCACGATGGGACCCCGATGGGATCCAGTTTTACAGTGAGTTTCAGGAGAGCGTGTGAGGAAACAGCTTCAGCTGATTCTGAAAGCAGATTCAGATGAGTGCAACAAAGGCAGGTTCAGGTGAGTGTGAGAGCAGGCTCAGGTGAGGGTAAAATGAAGCTTCAGAGGAGTGAGCTTCGAGTGGATATAGGTAGGTACATACCCCCATGCGTTTGCCCACTCCGCCTGCCAGCAGCACCACAGACACACTGCGAGGCGGAACCACCTGGTGGCGAGAGAGGGGGGAGAAAGAGGAGAGAGGGAGGAGAGAGGCAGGATAGGGGTAAGAGAGGGCGAGGAGAGACGATTAACGGAGGGAGAGGGAGGTAGGGAAGGGACACGTGTGAGCCAGGCGGTTCTTGTGGAGCCTCGATTTCTGAGGTGACCTCGAGGAACCTCACAGACACAGTGCGAGGAGTTTGTTTGTTTGTTTTTTTTTTTTTTTTTTTTTTTTTTTTCGGGATTACCTCGCTTGCACCGTTGGTCGCTTCAGCACTGGCCCGCACAGCCACCGATCGCCTTGCAGAAGCCGAGCGCGCACCTGCTGCTGCCACGTGTCCCTTCAGTGCTTGCCTCCCCCTGCTGCCAGCGCTGCTGCTGCTGCTCGTGCCTGCGGAGGGTTTAGGGAACAAAAACAGATTATGATGCATCAAGGAAATGTATTTCGGAGACAACGGTTGTTGGATAATTGGGTAAACCCAGGAAGTGCATTGTCACTATGCGGCACTGCTCCTTGTGCCGGTCGAGGGCTTGGGGGTACAACGGAGTGTGATGGATCAAGGGAAGTGTGGTAATGGATAACGTGGTAAAGGGAAGTATGGTGAGGGACAATGGGGTGAGTGTGCAAGCTGGTTTACCACGAAATGGCATGAAAATGATGGAAGTAATGGTAATGCATGGCAATGCAGGGGCGTGTATGGCAATGCATGCCAATGCACCGGATGTCACAACAATGCAGAGGTGGAGTGAAATCGTATCTAGCGAATCTTTGCCGATAGTAAACGATTATATACTGGCTGAGTACCAATGCCGTATGATTAGAACTGACGCGACGGGATATCTCTGAGGCTAACTTTTCAACTGCGGTAAGCGTCAAACGAAGGAACGACTCGCCGGCTCCCTGAATCATTTTCGAGCATCTAATCTTTACCTCCGCTAAGAAAGGTCCGAGGGAAAGCCACTGAAGTCGCGGGCTTGCTGCTTGTGCGGGGACGCGGAACCGCAACGACCGATGTCGCAGCAGCAACGACACAAGCATCTCTGACCACTGTCGAAGCCATGGCGCAGCGCCGCGTGAACAGATAAGGCACTTGGCGGGAAGGAGAAAACACCAGGACAGGTGGTGTCAGAGTGGAATAGAAGGGAGCGTGCTGGTGCTCAGGGTTATTTGGATTGTGTGGCCTAGGGGGAATGCTGCGAAGATCATTTTCAGACGCGGTACACCTTGCGGAGTTGACTTTGATGTGATTGGTCACCTGTAAAGTTCGCGAAAGAACTCGACATCGGCACTCTCCTATTGAAACGATCCAAGGTGTTACATCCGATATTGAACTAAATTCTTGCTGAGCGAAACGATCAGACGAAGCTAGGATTACCCAGTAACTGGGTGATAGGAGTACGAAGGTGTTCGGGCGGTTTTTCCTGCATGTTCCTCCCTTCGTCTTGTAACAGAAATCGCACTTTTCAAGGATGTTTCACAACCTCCAACTGAAGCACGCTACACAGATTTCGAAACTCGTGGAACAGGAAGGAGCTTACAAGTTAGTGAGCGGATCCTTGTACTCCCCTAGAGCAGGCTCGTTAAAGTCCGTAGAGAACACAAACCCAGTTGAACATAACACTTTAGCCACAGGTGCAAAATCTCACACCAATAACAGCAACCCTACGGCCGGCACTCGCCACTCCTCCCCATATGACTTCGATTTGCCTTGTCGCCGTCATGTCCTTGACCAATGTGAATCTGAAGGTCACACATTGACCTCCACATTTGATTGAATTCTTGCGCCCTTGTTACCCTAACCACATTTTCTTGGGAATCTTTATTCCGTTACGGCTAGGTTTCGCTTCACCAGACGCCGAGGAAACCGTCAGTCTGACGGTCGTCGGGAACCCTGGGAGGTCCAGTGGACGGACGCGTTTACCCGTCATTCCTCATTCTCCAAAGTAGCTCTATCCGCCTGGCCTACACTCCGTACGCGTTTTAACCACCAGAGTGAGATTCGTGCGAAGCCGCGAATGACTAGTAGAGCGCGAATGAGCCAGACCAAGCCGTAGTAACCGACCGGAAAGCATATTGGTTCAGAAACACACACGCAGTAATATCCGGCGCGTTTCGGAGGGATGGATAAGCGGCATCTGGTTACGTCAGTGGTTCTGCTGCTGGGTCTGAGCGTGCATGTGAGCTACTGCTCTCGCTCTCTCTCTCTCTCTCTCTCTCTCTCTCTCTCTCTCTCTCTCTCTCTCTCTCTCTCTCTCTCTCTCTCTCTCTCTCTCTCTCTCTCTCTCTCTCTCTTCTCCCCCATACCCCCACCCCCACCCAACCCGTTTGTTCTCGCTCACTCCCCCACACCCTTCCATCCCTGTCACCCTTCCTCTTCCTTACCCTCCCAGAAACTCTTCTCCTCCCCCACAAACACACCTTTTCTCCTCCTTCCTTCTCCTCTTCCTCCCCCTCCCTTCCTCCTTTCCCTCCCCCTCCCATTCATCTCCTCCCCATAGCCAGGGTTCCATACAGATGGTTCCTAATGTCGCTCAAAACCCGTTATTCGACTTCAGTTCCTCGTTCCCTCTCTTTCTTGGTTTATATCACCCACGTCCCTTCGTTCTTTGACGTTTCTGTCATCTTTTCTGTCTTCCATGTCCCGCTTTTCGTTTCTGCTGCCTCTGTGTCCGTCTAATGTTGGTCTAATGTTCGTCTAATGGATGCTAACCTGTGTCTCTGCGGCTTTTGTTTCCAAGCTTTTGTTTCCAAGAAAAACAAAATCCGTTGTTAATGGAGAAATGTCCTTTATGAAGTCCAGATATTTGATTATCCATTGGTGATGCACACGTGCAGGTGTGCCACGTCATTGCTGACTGGCCTGAGGAGAATGTGCTGGGACACGTGGCACAGTTCGAGGAGCAGATGGAGATGGAGATGATGAATCCTGCAGCGATAGCAGCAGAAGGTGGCACGTCACCTGCCACGTCAGCAGCAGATAAAGGAGCAACAGACAAAGCAGCTACAGACAAAGCAGCAACAGACAAAGCAGCAACGGACAAAGCAGCAACCGAGAAAGCAGCAACAGACAAAGGAGCTACAGACAAAGCAGCTACAGACAAAGCAGCTACAGACAAAGCTGCAGCAGCACAAGCAGCAGCAACAGCAGCAGCAGCACAGGCAACACTACCACCACCATCAACACCACCAGCACCACCAGCAGCGTCAACCCTACCTCCTTCCGACAACGAGCACCCAAGCATCCGCGGACTAGCCAACGGCGCACAAGTCCCCCTCTGGATCCCCGAAATCATCTTCAGCAACCTAGAGCTTCTAGACCTGCGCTACCACCAGGGCCTACACTGTAACACCTCCACCGCCACCTGCCCTGCGTTCTCCCCCTGCGCCTCCCAACGTCTCCAGGCGTCGCCGATTTCTGCCTGTTCCTCTGACCCGGTGCTGGTTGACAGTGAGCATGTGGTGTCCACTCCTCCGCTCAACCATGGCTCTGATGCTGCTGCGAGCAGTAATGGTTCTGCGAGCAGTGGTGGTGCTGCTGCTGCTGCGTCCGCCGTGCCGCCCTACCCGTACAACGTTGCTGCGGTGCAGACTCAAGCGTCGTTCGACGAGGCTGTGGCGGAGCCCTTTGCTGCTCAGGTGAGGAGTCAAATCCCAAGGCCGCTTAGAAATAGACTCATCAGCAGCTGCTGCTGCCGCCGTGCCTCCCTACCCGTATAAGTGCAGACACAAGCGTCGTTCGATGAGGCTGTGGCGGAACCCTTAGCTGCTCAGGTGAGGAGGAGTCAAGTGGAAGCGGTGCTTCCTAAAGTGTTCTCAAATGCCCGTCACATATTTCACATATTCAGGCGCCACAGAAACGGACATTTGAGGCAGCTCAGAAACGGGCGCCTCAGAAACAGGCCTTTCTGCTGCGCTGGTGAGGTTGGCTGTAGGGTTCTTGGCGGAAGGAAGCTTGTAAGGGGTTGAGGATTTTACTCAGAGGGCGTCATTTCTTGAGGCGCCTCAGGGGGGGTTTTAATCCTGCGGCTTTTTGCTGCTCAGGTGACGAGGTGGGGGACTTCGTTAGGACTTTTGAAACGTCTCAAAAGGTGACGAGGTGGGGGACTTCGTTAGGACTTTTGAAACGTCTCAAAAGGTGACGAGGTGGGGGACTTCGTTAGGACTTTTGAAACGTCTCAAAAGGTGACGAGGTGGGGGACTTCGTTAGGACTTTTGAAACGTCTCAAAAGGTGACGAGGTGGGGGACTTCGTTAGGAGGCTTGTGGGAGGTTGAGAGGTATCGAGGTTGAGAGGGTACTCAAAAGGCCTTTAGACGTCTAAATTCTAGACGTCTTTAGGCATAGGCCCCGTTCCCTTTGCTGCTCAGTTCAGACACGCCAGGAGATTGACTTGTCTGACTATGAGACGCCTTTAGGCATGCGCCCGGTGCCCTTTGCTGTTTCTTTCAAAGACCATGCTTTTATAGTATAGTCTCCCTGCCCCCATCCACACCCTGCCACCCATCCACAACCACCAACTGCAGGTGTTTCTTTTGGAGAACGTGTTTCTGAACGACCGGGGTGCTGTGTTCGACGCAACCTATTACTACCGCCACGGGCTCTTCTGCAGGTGTGCCAGTGCAGTGCATGCAGCTGCGTGTGTGTGTGTGCACGCGCGCATGCGCGTGCGCTTGTGTCTTCTTGTGTGTGTTTCTGTGTGTTAGTGTGCCCTTGTGTGCACTTGTGTGTGCATGTGTATGCTTGTGTGCGGTTTTCTGTGCTTCTGTGTGCTTGTGCCTTTTCCATAACCTCCCTTCTCCTCACTCCCCACTCTCCCTCCTCCCCCTCCCCACGTCCCCTCCGCTCCCCCCTCAGGTCCTGTCCTCTCGACGCGGGCATGTACACAGGGGGCACCACCACGGTCCATCCTTCCCCATCTCCCTCCCCTTCCCCCTCCCCTCTCTCCCCCTACCCCCTCCACCTCCCCCTCCCCATCTCTCGCCCCCTCCCCTCGGCTCCTCAGGTCCTGTCCTCTCGACGCGGGCATGCACACAGGGGCCACCACCACAGTCTACGTGTTTGACCATCTCGTCTCCCTCGTCTCACACCCCAGGCACCACAAAGGCCCGTTTCTCTTCCTTCCCTCTCCCCCCCCAGGTCCTGTCCTCTCGACACGGACATGTATACAGGAGGCACCACCACGGTCTACGTCTTTGAAATGTGTATTGGATGTTTTTCCTAGGCTTTCACCGCCTCGTCTCCCTCTCTCCCTCCCCCTCCCCTCCCCCTCTCAGGTCCTGTCCTCTCGACACGGGCATGTACACAGGAGGCACCACCACGGTCTACGTGTTTGACCGCCTCGTGTCCCTCGCCTACTGGAACGGGCCCAACTTCTATCACACCATGCTCGAAGTCATGCCCTCGCTGCTCTTCCTCCGCCCTTTCCTCCTTGACGCCAACAGCACTACCACCTCCTCCTCTTCATCCTCCTCCTCCTCCTCTGCCTCTGCTGCTGATCAGCCCGGTACCTTCTCGCCTATCCCCGTCGTCGTGAGGCAGCTTCAAGAGCTCTACACACACCTCTTTGCGCTCGTCGACGTGCCCGAATCTTCTCTGAACATTCACATCATACCAGACGACACGCTCTACTTTGTGAGGAGGCTGTACCTCCCAGCACAGGCTCAGTGCGGCCGGCCTTCTGCTGCTCTCGTCACACATCTTCGTGAAAAATACCTTGTCCCTCAGTCTGTTGTTGGGGATGCGCGTGCGAGTGGGGCTGGGAGCGATGGGATTGGGACCGGGGGTGGAACGGGGAGTGGGGTGAATGGTAGCTTGAGCTCGGTCGGTGATGGGAGTGGGAGTGGGAGTGGGAGTGGGAATGGAAGCCTGCCTTTGGATTGGATTGTGGTGGTGGGTCAGAGGGACACGACTCGTCGCATTGTGGGGCGCTCGCAATTGCTGCAGGAGCTGTATAATATCTTCCCCGGCGATCGCATTGTGGTGAGTGAGTAAGACCACGCACATGCAAAGGGATGTGCAGGTAGAGCGATGATTTTCTTGGCCGCTTGCAATTGCTGCAGGAGCTGTATAGTACCTTCTCCAGCGATCGCATTGTGGTGAGCCTTGCTAGATTAAGTTGTGCTCCTCAGAAAACCAGAGTGTTTTAATAAAGTCAACCCTAAAATTGCTGTTCGCATCTATTTCCAACCTCTCCCTCTCCCTCCTCTCCTGAAATTGAGTGCAGTGCCATTCTCACCACCAGCCATTTCTTCCTGTCTTCTTTTTCACCACCTTCCGTTTCTCCATATCTTCTTTTTCACCACCTTCCGTTTCTCCAGATCTTCTTTTTCACCACCTTCCGTTTCTCCATATCTTCTTTTTCACCACCTGCCGTTTCTCCATATCTTCTTTTTCACCACCTGCCGTTTCTCCCTATCTTCCTTTTCACTACCTGCCATTTCTCCCTGTCTATTTTTTCACCACCTGCCAATTCTCCTTATCTTCTTTTTTCACCGCCTGCCATTTCTCACCAGTGGCAACTTGTTGAAGTTTGGATTCACCTGCCATGACTTCAACCGTGCATCCCTTGACATCTCTTTATTCCACCTCCTATCATCTGCACCCTGCTTCCTCCCCCTCTCCCTCCCTCTCCCTCTCCCTCTCCCCTTCCACAGCTATTTCGAGGCAACCTCCCAGTCCTTGACGCCAAGCGTCTGTTCAACCGTGCTCGCCTCTTCATCTCACCTCATGGTGCTCTCATGACCAATATGGTTTTCATGGCGTCTCAAAGTCATGTTGTGGAGGTTCGACCACAAGCTTTCGACAACAACTGTTACCACTTTCTAGCCCACATTTGTCACCATTCATATTATCTTGTGCACGGAAATGGGACCAAGAACTCGGATATTCATGTAGACATGGATGATTTAGTTAGGGTTGTGAAGGGAATCGCTGCGAATTTGATGTAATGTTGTCACACATACTATCCAACATGTACTTGCTCAAAACAAGGCCCTCAAAATGGTTCCACCACTTCTTTGTGGCCTTTGACTCAGAATAAAACAAAAATCTGAGACTTAAGAGGTTTATATTTATTTTACTCCAATCAAAAGTAATGAAATTTGTTATTTGCTTACTAGAATATTTAGTGAAGACAGAACGTCGCCCTACACTAGGAGGGTAAACTAAAGGCAGGAGAAGGTGATGCGTTGGCATTTACAAACGAGGCAAGTTTGACAGGAAATCACGTGGGTTATTAAGGCCCACTGTTTACGTCCAGCCAAGTAGGAGTTGGTGAGCATTCAATGCCGCATTTATGACTTCGAATATCACGACCTATCTCTTTCACCTCAGGCCTCACTCGTTCTCTCATTCGTCAAACCTGAACGACGTGGGCCAACAGACTTGCCAAGCAAACGCCGCGCCTCAAATCGCGTGGGTGTCGAGTTTTCGATTGCTGCAAGGCGTGATTCGCAAGGTCGTGGGACAGCTGGCGATCCTGAAGTATCCTCGTTCCTTCGTAGATTTGCCCTTTCCGTCTGTTCATCACCTCGTGCGTTGTTCAGTGACTCGTCCTTGGAGGCTCTGTTGGGGCCAGAGAAGGACGGTTTGGTTTCCCAGCGTAATTCGCAAATAACGGGAAAAAGGATCGCAAGAGTTCAGCGGAGCAGAATCTGAGGCTTCCTGCAAGCAAAAGCCAACACAAATGGACTGTACGCACGTGTAAATACCTGCCCGTTATTTTGTGGTCATCACTCCAAACCTGCACGAGACCCCTCGTTCCCCGAAGCTGTATGCAACGTGGCAGCGTGATGTGTGAGAGGCTCCTCTCGTCTCACAACAACTGAACTAATCTTTTCACTCCAATCAGGAGTTCGTCCACCTCCTACCGCCACACCCTGTTTTTACCAATGAGGTGGTGGCACTGGAAAGATGACTGGTTTGGGTTTTGGGTGAACGAAGCGATGCACAGGCTGTTTGTGGCGAGGCGACGTCCGTCCAACCAGTGACAAGGCAAGCGACGTTCGTCCAACCAGTGACAACACAAGCCAACAGTATGTGCAGTGGTTTCGTACACATGATGCTCACTCAACTGCCCACTTTTAATTTTACATACAATACACTCGACAGGAGCAGTGGTCGCCCAGAACTTACACGCCCACGATAGAACACTCAGTTTCTTGACTGCGAATAAGATAGTCATATTTCACATACAAACTGTATTGGAGCTGGTAACCCCACTACAGTCAGAATTTGCAGCTAGCTAACACGTTCACGAGAGAGGAGCAATATGCGATACAGGAAACTAGACCGAAACGGGCATGAAGTGTAAATAAGGGGTAACACTTTTGTTTTTATTTTCCTTTGTTTACGAGACGTGACAAACCTCATGAGCTTGAATTCTCACGTCATAAGTGCACCTGTGAACACTTTCTTGCCCTCAACGCTCCAGTTTTTTTCACCACCCTTGCCACTGGTTTCCTTGCCCAGTTGATTCCGTCTGCTCAGGAAATGCGCAAGGGAACAGCAAGTGCTGCTATGACCATCACCTCACCTCACCACCGCCAGCCATCAGTTCCTCCCATGACCTGACTCATTTTGAACCACAAACAAGTCAACATCGACGGTCCCGAGATTCACTTGCGCCGAGTCCAGATTAGATTGGATCACATGCAACCATAGAAGGCCTCAACTCAAACACGTCAGGTTTCCCTCCATTTCCTCCACGTTACAGTGGTTGGAGGTGCGCACATGCAAAGGCAGCACTTCTGCCTTGCGTGGGGTGGGGTGGGGTGAGGAGTCTTCAAAACAGTGTTACGCGCATTGCTATGAACTTTCACTTGGCATGCAGCCACCACCATTTTTCAAATTTGCGATGAAAAACGAATGACGCAGACACTCTCCGCTGCACAGTGATCGCAAGGACAGCCGCCTTTCGAGGCAACGTCAAGCCTGCATTTGCTGGATTGAACCCACAGACGCACCGCAAACCGCAATGCAACACAACATGCTTGGATGACTCACCGTGAGGCCGCAAGCGCCGCTAAAAGGACCTCATTGAACCTGCCTTGGTGCTGCCGGCGTCTAGCCTGGGGTAACTCAGCACAAGGACAGTCTTTCGTTCCGTCAGTACGCTTGGTCTCAACTTGCGGGCTTGATTCAGTAAATCTCGCCGGGATTGGAACATCCACATCGTAGTCCAGTGCAACAGAAACTGTACAGTACACGTATTAATCTCCGCGTCATTCCTGGTATTGTCTTTGTGAATGCAATCAAATCGTCTGAAGATCTCGCGCACTTACTCGCACGTACACGCACACGTACAGAATGCAGTCAGTTTAGTTTCTCAAGCTCCCTCAGACCTCAGGACCACAGAAAGTTTCTCTAAAGCTCTCTCAGCCCCACAGATTAATACTGTCAGTGACAGGAGTAGTACAGTAGTAGCAGCTGCGAGCGACACCAACGCCATTAGTTTTACCACTACTAATTCTTCCAGTTTGAACCTAGTTCGTTGACTACAGCTCGACACGTCGAATCAAGAAAATTGCTGAACCTACTCGGCGTATCCTCTGCCTCCGCCTCCGCCTTCTCTTCCGCCTCCGCGCTACTGAGCTCTCGTGAGATCACCGAGGAGGTTACTACGCCATGGCCACTTTTTATGGCTCTCCGTCTACTAATGTTACGAGCTCTGATTGCAACGAAAGTAACGGCGGTGCTCCTACGCGCCGAGGCGCGGTGGAAGCTATGGAGCGACCCGCCGCAATTCTCAGCGCGCGGCATTATCAGCAAGTTTTCCGTGCGAAGGGCGTCACGCGGGAGGATTATATATCGGGGGCCGCAGCGCGACTGCGACGCGGGAATCATATCGCTGCCACCGGCGCCACCGACGATTCCGCCACGTCCGCCATTGTGACCGCGACAAGCTCTGATTCCGAATCGGGAACGGTAGTCGGCCGCTCAGCCTCAAACGGCGCCGCAAACTCCGCTGGCTCCGCCGCCGCCGCCGCCGCCGCCGCTTCCCGGTTGCTACTACAACAGCGCCGCCATTCCCTCGAGGCGTGCTTTCGCACAGTGAAGTTCCAGCCGCGGATGTCGCTGCTCTCCGCGACGGCGCCTGCTGCGGCTTCCGCCGGCGCCGACGGCGGCGCCGCCGCCGTTGCCGCTGCACATGAAGACAGGAACGAGGATACGGGCGCGGAATCTCCCAGATGCTCTGCCAGTGGCAGTGACAATACTGACGTCATTGTTACAAGCACTGCTACTGCCAGTAGCCATGGCTGCTTCCTCGACAAGTTACCCGACGATGTTCTGATCGATATCCTCGCCGCACTTGGCTCCGCGCGACACGTGGCAGCGGCCGGCGCGGTCTGCCGTAGATGGCACCGCCTCGTGCCGTTCGTCCCCTCCCTCGCCTTCGCCCGCCTCTCGCTCCCTGCTGCTAAAATCGAAGAGGTGGTATCGCGTATGGTGATGCGCTCCCGTGGCCTCGCGTCTCTCCACGTGGAGACCGTGAATGGCGGCGGGAGTCACGGCGGCGTCGGCGGCGACAGATGCGCGCATCCTCGGGAGTTCATCGTCGAGGCGTGGGCCCGCCACGCTGGCAACTCCCTCCGCCACGTCACGTTCACGCAGCACAAGACCGTCACTGCCGCCAGATCTTCCGCCTCGACTTCCCCTGGCGGCTCCGCCGTTCCAAGCTGCACGGTTTACGCGGGCGGTCCGGACCTAAGCTCGCATCTGCAGCATCTCGCGTCGCATTGCCCGAACCTCTCTTCGATGCGCCTCGGTTCATTCTCCCTCCCGCCGCATTCCCTCCGCGGAAACTCCGCGTTTCCGCATCTGCGCGCGCTCTCGCTCGAATGGACCAACCTGGCGGGCTCCACGCTCCAATCGCTGCTCGACGCGTGTCCCAATCTCCGCCATCTCTCCATCTTCATGGCGGCAGGTCTCACCGCGCAAGCCGCCTCCTATCCCGCCGGTTATTACGCGCGTCAAGCCGCCGTCGGCGCGCGGGCCGCAGCTGCCGCGGCGGCGGGACAGTCGGCGGGACTGTGCTTGCGGCTGCCCGCGCGATTGGAGTCTATCGAACTCGCGTATCTGCGCGTCTCCGCCGTCACGCTTATCTGCAGCGAGGCGGTCTGTACCGAGGACAAGACCACGCGCCGCAGCGGCCTCCGCGAGGTGTCGATTCGAGATATGTTCCTCACCGCGCTCTACCTCCCGAACGCGCGCGCGCTCGCGTCGCTCTCCGTCGCCACCGCCTCCGCGCTGCGCCTCTCCGCGCCCGCTTCCGCCGCCCTCGCGTCGCTCGAGGTCCGCGCGGGAACCGTCCACTGGCCGTCGCTCGAGTCGCTCGTCGCGGGCGCGGGCGCGTCGCTCAAGCACCTCGCGCTGGATCTCTTCACCGTCGATTGCGGCGGCTCCGGCGCGTCGCGAAGCGGCGCGGCTGCGGATCCCCCGCGGGAGGTGACGGGTGGAGGTCTCGACGCGACGCGGAGAGCCACGTCCGCCACAACCGCCGCGGGAAACGGGGGTCTCGATCTTCTGAACCTGAATTGGCTAGTAAGCCATTGCCCTAATCTCTCCTCGCTCTCGCTGGGCCCTCTACCTTGGGAATGCCTGATTCGCGGTGGCTGTCTATCCGCTCCTGGTTGGGCGCCCGGGTTGGGTTCGGACTCGGGAGGTTCGGCGGAGGGTCGGGCGATGCTGGGTCGGGTGATGAACCCGGCTGATGTGGACGCCTGGCCGAGCCAGCTGGAGAATCTTTCTGTGAAGCTTCGGGGAAGGAGCGGGGCTACACTGCTTTGGATTGGTGCGCTCATGCGGCAGTGTGCGGGTAGTCTGAAGAGTGTGAAGGTGGTTTGTTTGGAAGATGAGGAGGAGGAGGAGGATGAGGAAGAGGAGGATGAGGAGGAGGAAGAGGAGGATGAGGAGTGGAGTGAGTATGGAAGTGAGAGGGAGGAGAATGAGGAAGAGGAGGTGGAGACTGCGAATTGGGAGGAAAGAGAAAATGATATGGAGACGGATGAGGAGGAAGGGGGAGAGATGGAGTGCGGTCGAGAGACATACATGAGAAGTAGGAATACTGAGTGTCAAGGCGACGAAGAATGGGACTCTGAGGACGAGAGCGAGGGCGAGGAGGAGGAGGAGGAGGAGGACGACGAGGAGGCTCACAATCAGAGGCAGAGTCACCACCAAGGCCGGCAGTGCTGCAGCCACCTGCCGGTGCTGCAAAGATCTCTGTGCAGCATGCGTGGCGGTGGCCGTGGCGGTGGCGGTGGCGGTGGGAGCAGTAGCTCCCATGCAAGCACCATTTGTGATAACAGCAATTTCACCGGCACCAGCAGGAGCAGCAGCAGCAGCAGCGCCATAGCTTCTAACACCATAACTACCTGTACCATACCGACTTCCAGTTATGGGTACTCTTCTATGCGAAAGCGTACTGTCAGTGACGCCAAGCAGAGGTTGATTGCAGCGCGGGCATTCTTCTCCTCTGCCCTGGATGCCCTTCAACGAGCTTTCCCACATGTAGATATTATTGCGCCATGCTCCTATGCTTAAGCACATACCTATTCATTTGTTTCTCTCTCCAACCCTAATTTACTGTATAGGCCAAACATTTCCTGAGGCAGTATCACATGTTCAACAATCACCAGTTTCTTGAGAAACGCATGATCCTATTATGGTACCTAGGCTATTTGTGATTCATTCCACAAAGTAGAGGAAATGTGTATACGGCAAGTTACGATATAACACAACACAGCATCTTCAACACAGGGTTTACGACTAATACCGGTACCTTACGTGATATGTTAACATTTATTACAATAACTACAGGGTTGCCGTTGGCCTCAGTACGGTATATATACTCGCTGTACATGCAATTAGAGCTGTTTATTCCCGCCAAAAGGATATCTGTTTTACTGCTAGGACTACCCTTTTAATCACAGGAGCCAGGAAGTTATGCACCAAGTGCTTGCAAACGAATGGAAGAGGAAAAAGAGGGTCCCTCCAGGGGGGAAAGGACTCACTTATTCCTCGATCACCCACGCAAGCAGCATCTAGCGCCAACGCAGCAGATTGAAGCTGGGAAGCTGCGGGACAGGAGCAGCCACAACAAGACGATGATAATGCTTTTATTTGTAGTTGCAAGGACAGCTGCGGAGGTGAGAGAGAGGGTCAGTCGTTGCCAAGGCAGCTGGGAAGGTAGGAGTGAGGAAGAGAGAGAGAGTGTGTGTGTGTGTGAGCTTGTTCCCCGTGTGCTAGACAGCCGAGACTGATACGGCGCTGTGTTGTGAGAAGTAACCGTGCCGCATTGTTGACAATCAAAAACACCGAGTTACGGTACGGTACGAGGGCGAGAGTGGAGTGTGGGAGAGTCGTGAGTTGCATCCGAAGAGGGCTTGGCCAGATGCGAATCTCGCGTGTGACCCACAGCCGTGCATACATCTACTTGCTGTAAAAGCAGGAGATTCAACACTGCAGCACTGATGAACTGGGGAGGAGAGTACGGTAGATGCAGGAGGAGGAAAGCTCCAGATTGGAAGCTTCATAGGGTACTTGCTCCTTGCTATGCAAGGTGACAGCCTGGCAGGCATTGATGTTGGAATGTTGACCAAGTGGCAACGGTATGGCGGACTGTGATGGAGTAGCAGCAGCGGCTGCAGGAAGAGCAGCAGGAGGAGGAGGAGGAGGAGGAGGAGAAGCAGCAGCAAGCACTGCACGCAGCTGCTGCTTTTATATAGATAATCAGAGTCGAAGGAAGGGTATAGAGACTGAGGGCGAGAGCAGTGCGAGCGAGATAAGAGGTAGCGAGAGCAGTCAGAGCGAGAGCAGAGTGTGGTGGAGAATGTCGGCTACTGTGAGAATCCCCACCACTGTCATTCCCGGCTTGCCTGCCTCCCTGGGAGCTACTACGGGCAGTCGAGCCACCTGCAGCACAGCATAGGGGTAGGAGAAGAGAGGGACAACGTGCGGATGAGCGTAAGTTGGAGATGAAAGTAGGAAATTCCTGGACTGGAGCTACCATGGGCAGTGAATCCACCTACACACGGAGGCACGAAGCAGAGCAGGGGGAGGAGGGACGAGTTGGAATTTGAGAGAGAGCAATTGGTATATAAACCGGTGTGGGGTTCAGGGCATTGATGAAAGACGAGGCTGGAATGCGTGACTTTCAGTCTTTCACAAATGGATAAAGAATGGGCGTTTCCAAATATATATGTACTCGACACGACAGGGATGACACAAAGAAAGCGGGGGAAGGAGGGGAGGGTCCGAAGATATATGTACTAGACAGGGGTGGCACGGAGAAAGTGGGGGAAGGAGGGGTGGGAAGGGGGGGAGGAGAACAGGGAACTGAGCAGGTGGCTTTCAAGATAAACTCAATATACACTCGCACGCACCCCCAATTTCACCCCCACACCCACCCCCCACATGCCTTCCAAACCCCTTGCAAAAGCAAGAGGAGGGCAAAAGAGAGCAAGAGGAGGGAGGGAGGGAAAGAGAGAGAGTGCAATAAAGCGAGAGGGGAGGGAGAGGGAGAGCGGGAGGGATAGCAAAAGGGAGAGCAAGGAGAACATTCGAGGGAGGGAGACTGGCGGAGCGTACATTGCGTTGTGGTTGATCAAGATGGTGGCGTCCAATCGAGCACCAAGTAGGTGCCATGGTTTCAATACGTGGGAGCAACTCTTAGAAAGACTGGCGGAGCGTACATTGCTTTGCGGTTGACCTTGATGGTGGCGGCGTCTGACAGCAGCGCGCCGGCCTCCACGCAGAGCCAGAGAGAGCAGCAGGAGAGCAAGCGATAGAAAGAGAGCGCGAGAGGGAAACGAGAGGAGGGTGGTGTGGAGCGTACATTGCGGTTGATCATGATGGTGGCGGCGTCTGACAGCAGCGCGCCGGCCTCCACGCAGAGCGCGGGAGCAGTCATGGCGTGCGCCACGGTGCGGCTGCGGATCTTGCCCAGCTGCGCGCGCAGCGACGGGCTCATGGGGCCCTCGTACGGCTCGCCCATCAGATCGTCCGCGAGTCGTAGGAGGGGGCCAAGCGGGGAGAGAGGGGGAGACGGGGAGATGCGGAATTCTGAGGTCCTGTTTCAGAAGGCGCAGTGACGGGCTCATGGGGCCCTCGTACGGCTCGCCCATCAGATCGTCCTCCTGAGGAAGCGGGGGAAGCGGGGGAAGCAGGGAGAAACGGGGAGAGACGGGGACGCAGGGAGACGCAGGTGCTGAGGTGTTTCAGGACGGTCTGATGGAAGCAAATGCACGAGCAGGCGAGAGGAGACGAAAGCAGGCGAGAGCGGGCGAGAGGTGACGAGGGAGGGCGAGAGCGGGTGATTGGATTCGAGAGCGGGTGATTGGATTCGAGAGCGGGTGATTGGATTCGAGAGCGGGTGATTGGATTCGAGAGCGGGTGATTGGATTCGAGAGCGTACCCCAGGGTACGGCACAGTCTCTTTCCACAGCACGTCGCGCTGCGACAGCACGCCCACGAGGCGCCCCGCGCCGTCCGCGCCCGCGCCCTCGTCGTCGTCGTATGGCTCCACCACGGGAACTCCGCTGACCGCGCACGCCGCCATCAGCTTCGCCGCCGCCTTGAGCGACGCGCGCGGATGCACGCACACGGGGCGGCGCGTCATGTAGTCGCGCACCGTCGGCAGCGCGGCGACGGCGGTTGGTGATTGGTCGTCATCGGAGAATCTGCGGAACGGGAGGAGGGTGTTGGTGCAACCCTGCGGTTTGCACTCGGCTTGTTGTCCGTGTGCGTGAATGTGTGTGTGTATGGAATGGTATGAGGGCATGGGATAATATATATTTCATGCTTATAATTGTGTGTGAATGTTGAGTCATGATGTTGAGTGTGTGTGTCGAGTCAATAGCGAGTTATCGCTAGACGCGTGTTACGCGGTCGTTTGTGTCTCGCGCGCGGTTTCTATTTTGTCGTGCGCGGTTTCTATTTTGTCCTGTGTCGAACGTTCGGCGTGTCGCAGGTGTGTGCAGCAGACCCATCAAGAACTCAAGGATGAGTTTGTGATGAAGAGCCCGAGCCTTGGTGTCAAGCCTCAAGTGATTTCGAAGCTCGCCAAAAGGGTACACCTCAAGATATTGAAGATAGTTACATTACTTTGTGTAGTGTAACATTTCACTTGGTGTAGGTCCTAGTGAAGGGTAGTTTCGAGACCCTTCGTGGTTGGGGACAGTGTGGCACTGTTCCACATCACTGTACCTCGGCTCTTGGGGTTTGTAGGAGCTGGGAGTCATTCCCAACTCGTAACTCTTCCTATCTTGTGTTCTAAGACTATAGTGGCTGCCATAGTACCATTCGTTCAAACCAACGCTGTGTCGTCAATTCTTTATCAAATCGTGCAATCTAAATTGCTAATTGTAGACGACGTGAAGACGCTCCAGATACAATTTGAATCAAGTCATTTGCAGCTGTGAGCAGAACGCTATCAACGTTTGAAGCCGCTGTGCAGAAATCCGTCTGTGCTCTCTATCTTTCGTTTTAGGCACATTCAAGCCTATTGTGACTATAACAAGTGGTATCAGAGCCCCTTGGAGCAGTTTCGACAATGTCTGGACCTGAGGAAAGGGGTGGCAGAGGTGTTGGTGGCAGTGGAGAAGCTCAAGCTCAAGGCCAACCCCGTGATTCAGCCATGGCGCCCATGCAACCAAGTCTTGGCCCACCTAGGGATGAGCCTAGGGTGTTTGGGCTTGACAAGTTCAACGGTGACAACTTTGCTGAATGGTCCTTCAAGATGGAGAACATCTTTGACCACTATGACCTGCTGGAGGTGATGGAAGGAACGGAGAAGCGCCCCGAGAACGACCCGGAGAAGAGCCCGTGGGTGCGGAAGAGCGCACAAGGCTATCTCTTACTTGGGCAAGCGTTGGGGAGCAGTCAGATCCGTCACATCAAGCCATTCCAGCGTGAACCAGAGAAAGGACCAAAGGCATGGGCTGCTCTCAAGGGTGTACATGCTCCTGCAACAGCGGCGGTAGCGGTGGTGTTGGAACGGCAAATGGCGGCACTACGAATTGAAGAAGACGAAGCGGTTGAAGAAGGGGTGCAGAAATTCTTCGACTTGTTGACGCGACTTGAGGGAGCTGATTTGAACTACAGTGAGCTCCAAAAGAAGACCAAGTTGCTGGCCTTACTCTCAGAGTCATGGTCCTCGCTCATCATCAACCTTAATCGCGACTTGCCCCGCCTCTCGCTTGAAGACGTGAAGCGAGCTATCCTTCAAGAGGATTTCCGCCGCCGTGAGTTGGCGAGTGCGGATGGCGCTGGGGCAGCGAGCATCGGCCGTGGATATGGTCGAGGAAGAGGCAGAGGACGAGGGGGAGGAAGGTTTGGTGGCAGCAACTTCGGCGGAGGCCGCAGGAGTGGCGGTTACGGCAGCGACGACAAGAGCTACGGACGCGGTCGCGGCCGATTCGACGGCGAGTGTCACTATTGCCACAAGAGCGGACACATGTGGCGCGACTGCTACAAACTCCCTGATGGTTGGACCCCTGCTCAAGGCCAAGAGGGTAGAGGAGCAGGAGGAGGGAGAGGACGAGGCCGTGGAGGCCGTGGCGGTCGCGGTGGCGGAGCTGCAAACATGAAGAGCGGAGACAACGACAAGGACCCGAGCGACGATCGATACCCGGGTCTATTCTACTTCGTGTCGACGCAAGTACCGGCTGGTCCAGAGAAGGATGAAGGCTTTGAGGAGCCAGCAGCTGTGGGGAAGGTGACCCTACACCCCCTGGACTATTGGGTGATTGATAGTGGCGCTACCTATAGCATGACACCTCGCCCGGACTTGCTCACCGAACTCGAGCCGTCACCGGTGAAGCATGTCACATCGGCTTTGGGGCAGCGAGCAGAGGTGAAAGGCATGGGCAAGGCCATGTTCAAGGGTGCTGATGGGAAGATGGTGGGCCTCAAGAACGTGCTTTGGGTGCCCAGCCTTGCTGCAAACCTGATTTCCGTGCGGCGGTTGGCAAAGGCCGGCATGGACACGAACTCGAAGGGAGCCAAGACCTACACCGCAAGGCTTGGCGATCGAATTCTTTGGGACCTTCATGAGGACAGGGATGTCTACAACGAGATGTGGCAGATCCCAGTGGTCCCTATGCCTAAGGAGAGGCAAGTGGCAGCAAGCATCAGCACCAAGGATGGAGCGGTCGGTAGCGACGATGGCGCGAACGGTCGCGCTAAGGAGAATGAGCTCATGAAGAGCAAACCTGGAGGGACCAGCAAGTTCAGTGAACCTAAGGAGAGTGGTGCAGCAACCAAGGAGCAGCAAAAGGGTGAGGAGAACCCAGAGGCAGCAGCGGAGGAGGACTACGGAGAGAGTATGTGGGGCGCTATTGCGAGCGCGGCATTCTCCAATCCAACTTCGGCTACGGGGGAGTGTGATTGGCTCACCTTGCATCGGCGCATGGGGCATGTGGCCCTGCCCATCTTGCAGCAGCTAGTGAAGAATGAGATGGTTGCTGGCATACGTGTGAAGGGGGAGCCCGATGAGGTGCTTGGCTGCCCGACGTGCATTCAAGCCAAGTTCACCCGGTTTCCGTTCCCTAGTTCGGAGGCAACGGCAAAGGCACCGCTTGATGAGGTGGTGATGGACGTGGTGGGCCCCCTGAAGCTTGGAGCTGCTGGAGCTGAGTATTTTCTCACCATTGTCGACGTCTACACCCGCATGACTTGGGTGTACGTGCTGGCCAAGAAGAGCGACGTGGCTGAAACGTTGAAGACGGATTGGTTCCCGATGGTGGAGCGGCAACAAGACCGTCTAGTCAAGTCAATCCGCACCGATCGAGGGGGAGAGTTCCTGAGCAAGGAGTTTGGGTTGTGGCTGAAGAAGAATGGTATTCGGCACTCCCTCACCATGCCATACTCCCCTGCAATGAACGGCATCGCCGAGCGAGCGAACCGCACAATCACGGAGGCGGCACGCGGGTTGCTCATTGAAGCCGGGCTACCCGACTATTTCTGGCCTGATGCGGTGCGGAGCGCGTGTGTGGCCAAGAACAGAGCCTTGACTCATGTGGGAGCAGACCAATGGGTGCCCTATGTGGAGTGGCTAGGAAGGAAGCCAAAGGTGGATATGCTTCGGGTGTTCGGGTGCATGTGCATGACGCTCGTGCCTAAGCATCTTCGGCACAACAAGCTTGGTGCCAAGGCGGTGTGGGCCGTGCACTTGGGCATGGCTCAAAACAGCAAGGGATGGCTTCTTTGGGACCCATTCACCAAGAAGTTCTTGGTGAGCAGGGACTGCAAGTTCATGGAGAACTTCATGTACAAGGATTGGAAGGCGGAGAATGAGGCGAAGATAGGCGTGCGGTTTGGGGAGGTGAAGAGTTCCGGTTTGGAGCATGTGGAGCTGCCTTTGGAGCTGAGCAGCGGCAGCACAACCACAAGGCAATCCTCCCTTGTGAATGGGGGAGAGGAGGCCAATGATGCAGAGGAAGAAGAGGAGGAGGTGCAGCAAGTGAGCGAGCGTGCACCGTCACTCCCTTCCCGTACTACGAGTGCTCCACGGATTCGAGCCACACCGCAGCAACGCCAAGGCCTTCAAGTCCCTGCAGCTGAGGAGGAAGGAAGGGGGAAGAGGAGAGTTCAACCCCCTAATAGGCTGACCTATGATGCGCCGGGAAAGCAGGGCAAGACAGCCCTGGCCGGAGCGGCAATGATGGTCGGAGACGACGAGGAGAGTGACTACGAGGAGTGTGCCTTCGCGTTCTTCTCTCCGGTGGAGATGCCGGGAGAACCAGCAACTCTCAAGGAGGCTTTGGAGAGTAGTGATGCTGAGGAGTGGAAGAAGGCCATGGAGAGTGAGGTGAAGAGCATCGAGGAGAATGACACGTTTGAATTGGTGGAGCTACCGGAGGGGCGTACGGCGATAACGTCCAAGTGGCTCTTCAAAATCAAGTCGGATGCCGACGGCAAGATCGAGCGCTACAAGTCTAGGCTTGTAGCCAAGGGGTACCAGCAGAAGGAGAAGGTGGACTTCAAGGAGCTGTTTGCCCCTGTGGTGAAGCCGACGACGCTGCGAACCCTATTCGCGGGAGCCGCCATCAAAGGATGGGTAGTAAAGCAAATGGACATCGTAACGGCATTCCTTAACGGCATCCTTGAGGAGGAGATTTTTATGGCGCAGCCAGAGGGGTTTGATGATGGTAGTGGCAGAGTGTGGAAGCTGAAGAAGGCCCTCTATGGGCTGAAGCAGGCCCCTAGGCAATGGTACATGAAGCTGCGCGAAGTGTTGGAGGGGATCGGCTTCACTCCCTCAACGGCCGATCACTCCTTGTTCATGCTTGGCGAGGGGGAGCAGAGGAGTTTCATGGTGGTTTATGTGGATGACATCCTCATTTTCTCACCCTCTTCTGACCTTGTGAAGGAGGTGATGCTGAAGCTTCAAGACAAGTTCAAGTGCAAGGCCCTTGGTGACGTGAGCTTCTACCTTGGGCTCCACATCGAACGAGATGTGGAGAAGCGGTGCATGCGGGTGCATCAACGAAAGCACCTGGAGGCATTGGCTGCCAACTTTGGGCAGAGTGAAGACCATGTGGCTACACCTTTTCCCTCTGGGTTCAAGTGTGTGAAGGGACCAGAGGAGGAGAGCGTTGGTGAAGAGGAGAGGCGCCG